TTTACGTATTTGGCTATTTGCTTTATAAAATTACCGAAATAACCCAATGTTTTGGGAATTGGTATGCAAATGTTATTTTAAATCTATTCCCTATGAAATTACCAAAATGACCCTACAACTTGGAAATCGGTATTTTAGCGATACTTTATGTATCTGCCCTATAAATTACCGAAATGACCCAATGTCTTGGGAATTGGTATCTAATTGTTATTTTAAATCTATTCCTTATGAAATTACCAAAATGACCCTACAACTTGGAAATCGGTATTTTAGCGGTACTTTACGTATTCGCCCTATAAATTACCGAAATGACCCTATATCTTGGGAATTTGTATCTATGCTTTATTTTGATTATTTTCCTTATGAAATTACCAAAATGACCTCACAATTAGGGAATCGGTATTTTAACAATACTTTGAGTATTGCTTAATAGAATTACCAAAATGCCCCTATGCTTTGGGATTGGACTTTTAGACACTGTTTAAATATTCGACTTATGAAACATAACAAGAATGTTCTAAATTAAGGAATTGGTTAAAGCTATACCTTTGGTATTCGGCTTCTTAAAATTTACCAAAATGCCCCTAGACTTAGAAAATTGGTATTCTAAACATTATTTCGAGTATTAATTATGTTGAACTTTAAACTTATGGAATGACCGTTATTTATATGTGTGTGACATGTTTTCACCTTTATTTACTTGCAAATTTTAAAAGAGACAACGTTGCAAACTATTTAGTTTAATTATTTTGTAAAATACTTATTGTTTAAGAAAATGGGAAGTGTATTGCTTATTTTTATAAATATTAAAACAAAGTCACATTATTAATAATATTTCGAGAAAATATTTGAGCGAACTTGAGATATGATGGTATCGGGGGTTGATCAATAAAAGGAAAAGTCGTGTTAAGATTGTTAAGGAATAGTAATCAATTTAATTACGATTATTTAAGATGCTTAGAAATGGTATAAAATTATCATGTAGGTTGCCGTTTTTGAGAGAAAGACCTATCGAACGTTAATAATTCAAGGTGAGTACATTATGCGATTTTTATGGGATATATACATGATTATTACAGAAGTATTTTATCCATGATATATGCATGATGTGTTTATATGCATATGATGATAACTTGATTATATTGATGTGCATGATATTTAAGTATATGCATGATATGAAAGGTGATGTTAATGAGAAAGATTATGATGACTTGTTATTATCAATATGATATTCAAGTATGTGTATAATGTGGAAAATGACGATGATGCATATGTGATTTATGTTGTCACTTGCATGAGATGTATGTTGCATGTCACGATGAGATTTGCATTAATGAGTGAGTATTGCAAATAAATGATATGCAACTAGTATGATTCGGCAAGATTCATCCACCGTACGGGGTGGGTTGGACATGAAAGGAGGGCTTGCAATTCCGAGGTCTTGGAGTCCTCGTCCATAGAATACGCCACATACACAAAGAAAAGTGATAAGTCGAGGTCTCACTTACAAGATAATAATTAAAATACACTAAAGCACTGTTTTGTGTGTGCATGTGATCATGAAACCATATTGTATTCACTAAGCTTTTTGCTTATACTATACATGTATATATCTCAGGTATCAAATGTCAGTAGACGCGTTGAATGAAGAAAGAGGAAACTATGTTTTGAATCATGCTTGATTAAATATTTAATTAACATTGATTATGTTAAAGTATTTTATGCTTCCGCAATTATGTAACGAATCATGTTAACCATATTATGTGTGTTTGAAATTTTAAGTTCGTATTTTTGTTCATGACATAAGTTATTAAGAATGACGTCACGGCACTCGAACGAAAGAAAAAAAAATCGGGGCGTGACAGTTGCGGCTTCAAAAAATAAACTAACGACATTCCCTTGTAAAAGAGAGTCCATGGAACCACCTCTGCAAAAGGCAGAGGACTTCAAGTCACCTTTCTGTTTTGCAATAGTTGAACTACTGAAGCAATTTTATTGTTAATTATAAGAGGAATTGATGTCAGTTGTGATAAGGACATAAACGAATAGTGGAAAATCGAAGCAAACCATGTTGAAACGAAGGAAACCAAGCTCCAAGGAGGCACAATTTCCTCAAAACAGATTCGTCCCACATGGTGAATTTGTTATTTAGGCACAAATTCTTCCTATAAAGGAGAAATGTTCTAAATCTAGCTGACATGAGACTCCAATGGAGTCTAGACGGGCATAGATGGTCCCAGAATGTCAAGGGGCGCTAGACGAGTACGAATTACCGCATATTATGGAAAATTAAAACCAAAGGATCTCATAACCGAAAGTGTTTATAAAATATAAAACACCAAAACTCTCTGATATTATGCCTAAAAAATGTCTAAACCAAATATTATCCGGTCTAAAAAATGCTTGAACCAATTATTACCGGGTCCAAACTCAAATATCTTAGACAAGTAACGAACGGACAGCCCAGCCCAGCCCAGCCCAAACTAAACTACTTACGGGTCCAAAACCGGTCCGGTCCGTTTGCCCACCTTTATTTGCTCACCTTCTTTGGCCTCACTCTCCCCCTCAAATGCAATTTATTTTAAATAAAGCCCAATTTTTATTTAGTGTTAATATATTTGATTGAATTTTGTCATGAATATAATAACATCATATATCTGTATTTTTGGTTTTAATAAAGAGGAACACCATTGGCAAAATTACTGATTTCGCCCCTGAAGTCTTTTTCCTGACCATACGGGTTGTTCCGCAAGGTTTCCTCTCGTGGATTCTTTTTCTCGACGAATTTATTTTGGAAATGAGCCATTAAAATACACTTCAAATTTTGTATTATTAAGATTTATATTTTACATTTTCTTACGTTTCATATTTTGAATCGAGGCATTGATAGTTGTTGGAATACAATGAAAACTTTCGTTTATTAAATTGGTCTTCCGTGTCTTCATTTGTTTCTTTGCGTATTATGGGGGACCGTCAAGCACATCGACAATTAAACGGTAATAACATCTATCTCAGTTCTTGTTTCATCTCTGGTCAACCGAATGGTGGGGAAGTTAACAGTTCCCGACGACATTCAGGGATGGATATAGACCCATCAGGCAAGGATAATCTCCTTAGCTCTATAAAGACCTTTCCAACTCAAGAGATACTAATTAAAGTGTGGAGCCGGAGCTCGGCTTGTTCACCTGCTCGGCTCGCCTTCGATCTTCTAATCTATATTGCGTTTTTAAAATTGTTTTCATCGAGATTTTAAATTTTGTTTTACTTCACTCTTTAGTCTTCCAATAACGATGGCGTCATGTTCATCGTTGTCCAGTATTGTGATACAAAGCATTGGTGATATAGTATCATTAGTTAGCGGTTTTGTCAGGTTCTGGATGATTTCGGTTTCTTTTCAAGGTTATTCAAATAATTCTTCAAGCTCATATAAATACTTCACGGACTCCGTGTTAAATCTTTTTTGAAATATAGAATATTTATATACAACAAATACAAAAAATAACCTCAAACACTCTCCGTGAACAAGATAAACTCACAATAACAGATAAAACAGACTCTAGAGATAATCCTAATTTTATATTCTAATTGATTAAAGCAGGCTAATTACTTTGTATTCCTCGGCATATTCTCTCTCTCTTTTTCCAGGGTGTTCGGAGAAATTAAGGTTTCATTTCCATCAAAACCACCTTTTCTTTCTTGTATCCATATACATACATACATGCATACAACCATCATCCATGCTATAATGGGATGATGGGATTGGGTTGTTTAAACAGTCGTACAAACATTTTATCATAAGTGAAATCTTATGTTAAAAGTATTTTATTGATTTAAAAAAAAAACATAATAAATCTGAAACTAAAAGGTAAAAGTTAAGAAAATGAATCTAACATGATTCGAGTTCGGGTTTAGGATGGAAAAAAATCTTGCAAACCAACTGTACCGAGGGGAAACTTGTGTATTCATTGTAGTTTCAAAATATATATATATATATATATATATACAGTGACACAATAAATTGATGCGGTTACACTTTTCACGACTCTATAATATTTTACACTATGATGGAGGAGCGAAACGGTAGGAATGAAACCAAATTTTTTTTTCCAAGTGATGGTACCATTTGACTATAAGAAACAGATATAAGAATATTTTTCGTAACATCATAATCGGCTTGTAAGTTAGTTCTTTACTTTTCATATGTGAAATCCCATGTTCAAATCTTCTATTGCAAAAGTTTTCAAAAACATAATAAATCTGAATTAAAAGTTAAAAACTAAGAAAATGAAAATAACGAGATTCAATCTTGGGTCTGGGGTAGAAAAAAAACCTTGCAACAACTTTACCGAGGAAAACTTGTGTTCTTATTGTAGTTTGAAAATCTATTTGATGATACACAACAAATTAATACAGTAACACTTGTTACGACTTTATAGTTTTTACATTATAATGGATGAACAATACGGTAGCACGAGCAAACTCTATATATACTCCATGTTAAGACCCATCCATGCATGCATACATACATACAACCATCATCCATGCTCTAATGGAATGATGGGATTGGATTGTGTAAACGATCTTACAAACATTTCTCATATATACCCATAATCCATCTCTCTCTCTCTCTCTATATATGTATATGTATATAGTATGAATGTATATATATCAGCCATCTGTCAATTTGTTGGTTATGTGATCTCAACTTTCTCCCCTTCTCTCTCTTTCTCTCTATAAAACACACACACTTGTCATGCAAAAACTACCAAGTTCTCCATACAATACAACCATGTAGATATATATATATATATAGAGAGAGAGAGAGAGAGAGAGAGAAAGTCTCAAACTTTGCAATAAAAAACACAATTTTAGTGATAGAAATAGAGATAGAGATATATAGAGAGAGAGGATATTGATATGTTAAATGATGAAGTTTGAGAGAAATCAAGAATCATAGAGTGAGAAAACAAGTTCTAGAGAGAGAGAGAAGTTGCAGAGATATGAAAGATACACCCACTCAATCAAGATCAGTAGTTTCTAGATGTTTCTTTCTCTCTCTCCTCCTCTCTTTATCTTGTTTCATCTTTCTCTCTCTAAAATCTACATACTTTCTCAAGAAACCCATCTCCGTTGACGGTGGTGCCGACCTCAAGATCCGACCCGGATACACCTCCTACGACAACTACATTCACCACCAACTTCGTAAAACCACCAACCCCAAGCTCCGAAAAATATGGACCACCCGAGATTGGGACCGAAAGATTCGGGTCTTCACCCAATTCTTTTCGGATCTAAAGCACAAAAAACTGCTAACCAATTCATCCAAAGCGCTCTGTGTCGGAGCTCGGGTCGGGCAGGAGGTGGAGGCTTTGAAGCGGGTCGGAGTGTGGGATTCCATCGGCTTGGATCTGGTACCATATCCGCCACTTGTGATCCAAGGTGACTTTCATCGTCAGCCGTTCGATGATGAAACTTTTGATTTTGAATTCTCGAATGTGTTTGATCATGCGTTGTATCCGGAAAAGTTTGTAGGGGAGATCCAACGGACGTTGAAGATTGGTGGGATCTGTGTCTTACACGTGGCGTTATCTAGACGGTCGGATAAGTACTCGACTAATGATTTATATAGTATTGAACCGTTATTAAAGTTGTTTAACGGGTCGGATTTTGTTTATTCTAGGAAAGTTGACGGGTTCGGGTTGGATACTGAGGTGGTCTTTCGGAAAAGGAAAGGAATCCAACGGTCATGAATTTTTGTTGTTTATTTCATTTTCTAATGCTTTTTTTACCAAATATCTGATCATTTTCTCGACCCAAAATAAATATTCCTAATCAAAAAAAGACATACAATTTTATAATAACAAATTGCATAAAAAATAATATATTTTAATTTGATTCATATTTTTGGTAACGTACTTTTGAAACTTTCATTTTGTTACCTAAGATATAAAATTTTGAACATTTAAATACCCGAGTAAACAGTTATTTGGAACGAATGAAATATTTATAACTTTACAAAAATGCAAGATTCTAAACACAAAAACCTTATTAGAAGACGGGTTCGATTGTCGTCTTCAACTAGTCAAACGGTTCGAATGGGTTCATGCCATCAACCGATTCTCCAAATAGAAATAAAAAGACCGATCCTCGAAACAGAAACAGAAAGACCATTTGGATCTACGAGCATTCACAATTGGAGTTTTTTTTTTCCAATTTGTTGAAACCCCATGTCAGACTAACCCTCTTTTATTTTTTGAAGGGCTCTTTTGGAGAGTAAATCTAGCAATCCACATATATTCTCATATGGTATCAGATCTACCACTATAGAGACATAACATTCTAGAACAATCTCCCACATAGGCTATGCTTGGATCATTTCTCCTTTATATACATTGGAACATCCTTTCCCTCTCCTAAGGACTCTTTTAGAAACTAATCTAACACAGTTCCACACACACACACACACACACACACACACATATATATATATATATATATATATATTAACCTGGATATCCAACCCACTATGTTAGCCAACTAATCCCAAGGCAACCACCTGCTTTGCAGATAGCTCGGAGTCACTACATTTGAACCTCCATGGCCACAAGGAAATTTTTATTCCTCCTTGGATTTGAACCTGGAATCTCCTGATACTTTTGACCTTTGGAGCCAAGCTCAAACCAACCAGACACCACCATTGTGGTTAGTTCCACATATTCTTATTCTACTCCCAACATCTTTATAACATCAGTTCTGAATTGAAAAGCAAACAGTTTCAAAAAGGGTGAAAGCTGCATATCTCAAATGAAAAATATGGTCCCAAAGTTGAACATCATCATCATCATACTAAATGCTAGAAATGCACAAACCAAACTGCTAAAATTTCAAAAAGATCTTCACTCAGTCTTCCTAGAATCCTTAAGTTGTCCTCTTTTTCGGATCTTGAGGCAGAAGTTGAATCGCCAAGCATCGATAGCAGCCTCGGGCAACGAGTAAAGCAAAGCCCAGATGACGGAATGCGGCCAGTAAGGCGTGCAACGAGGTTCGTGACCTAACCACCTCAACCCTGCCTTTGCATATCCGCTTGGTGATGGTACGAAGAATGAAGATCTCTTGATCGATGCCATCTTTGTTGCTACGTATAATGGCACCTGTCAAAACAGTTTTAAAATGCTTATTCGAAGTTAGAAATTTATGGAATCATGAAACAGGGTGCAAGAAGTACAGTGGGAGGTTCAAATAAGAATGACCAAATATTGCGAGGAAGTGAAGATTCACATGTGAATCACTGAAAAAAAATCCATTTGAAAGATGCATAAATGAACCCATAGTAGTACCCCAAGAATGCCTCAGCTACAATGCCTCAGTTACAAGCCTTAATCAAGAATTACTGTTAACTTATACGCTTTTTCGTTCATTTTCTATTCTCCATTTTGTAGGTCCGATCTTAAATCGTATCAAGTAAATACGACTCGTAATCATATATTCATAACTAGGGTTGGGTTCCTACGGCCACCGTGAGACCAACTGTGAAGGCACAAAAGCACACCGAACCTTCACAACAAAAACATTTTGAAGGTTCAATGAGAAAAACGGCTATAAAATGAATTGGGGGTGTGATTACAAATCCTAAAACAATCCACACAAAACACAATTGAACTGAAAAGTTCAAGAAGCTAACAAGCACATAAACCTCTAAAAACAACTCAGAATTCAAATTCTATGAAGCAAAACAATCAACAATTTACCTGACACTGCACATCAATGCCACTATTCTTGTATTCAACATAAAGACACCTCGAAAACTGATCGATATACCTACACAAATGAAGAACAACGTCAATAAGCACTAATTAAGATCCACAATTGTAACCAAACCCTGCTGTAAAAACCAAAACTTTATCGAAAACTGGTTCGATATAGCCAACAAATGAAGAACAGAATCAATTAGCACTAATCAAGATCCATAATTTCAAACAAACTCTGCTTTAAAAACCAAAATCTTTATCGTAAACTGGTTGATATTCCTAACAAATGAAGAACAGAATCAATTAGCACTAATCAAGATCCATAATT